GCCTTGGGGACTTGTGTTTGCTCCGTGGGGACCTGTGGCCCGCGGCAGGGTCGCGGTGAGGGGCCCGGGGCTCCTGGGACTGCAGTCGGCACACGGCGGCCCCGGGGGGGCGGGCGCCCCATTTTCTGCGGGATGGTGCCCACGCCCTTCCGGGCTTGGTTTGGACCTGGCCGGACGGGGCTTTGTGGAGGCCTGACCGGCTCCGCGGGGCTGCGGACCCCAGCCCTGTCCAGCAAGGGCAGTGGGGGCAGGCGGCCCCGCCCCTGGGTCTGCCCGCCCGCCCCGTGTGTGAGTCACCGGCCCCAGAGCCTGGAGTCGGTCCTGGCTGGAGTATTTGCCAGATCCTCGAGGACTTGGGAAGACGGAGATAGGTCGGCATGGAGGCTGGGGCCTACAGACTTTTTGACAGGCAGATTAGAGAGAGAAAGGTCTTCCTTCCGCTGGTTCACCCCCCAATGGCCGCTACGGCCGGCGCGCTGTGCCCATCCGAAGCCAGGAGCCAGACGCTTCCTCCTGGTCTCCCACGCAGGTGCTGGGCCCAAGCACTTGGGCCAACCTCCATTGCCTTCCCGGGCCACAGCAGAGAGCTGGACTGGAAGAGGGGCAACCGGGACTAGAACCCCGGGGTGCCGGCGCCGCAGGCGGAGGATTAGCCTAGTGAGCCGCGGCGCCGGCCTTGTTTTTTTTTTTTTTTTTTTAAGATTTATTTTATTTATTTGAAAGGCTGCTTCACGCCCCAAATGGCTACAACGTCCAGAGCTGTGCCAGTCTGAAGCCAGGAGCTTCCTCTTGGTCTCCCACAAGGGTGCAGGGACCCAAGCAACTGGGCCGTCCTCCACTGCTTTCCTAGGCCACAGCAGAGAGCGGGATCGGAAGTGGAGCAGCTGGGACTCGAACCAGCGCCCACACGGGATGCCGGCACTGCAGGCGGTGGCTTTACCCGCTAGGCCACAGCACTGGCCCCACAGAGAGATTCCTGATAGGGGGCCCCAGCCTCCTGCAGCTCTGCCTCTGTGACGGCTGACCTGATCGAGGCATTTTGATGGACTGTTCGGAGCACTGAAGGCTTTGAGTGGCAGTGAGAACACTGGGTGCTCAGGACGTGGGACCCTGGATGTGTGCCTCGCCCCTGAGGGCTGGTCCTGCCTTGTGTTGCACCGGGCGGCTGTCCTGGCGGGGCGGGGCTGAGCCCTGGCACTGCTGTCCCATCCTGCTGCTGGGGCCAGGCGTGGGGAGGGCGGGGTCTCCTTGCAGGAAGTGCCCGTGGAGCGTGGCTCTGCGTGGCTCCCGCTGTGCTGAGCTGGTGAGGTTCGGGGAAGCCCGATCCAGGGCTTTCTCGAAGGCGCGCCTCTCTGGTGCTGTTTTCCTCTGCTTACGCGGGCCCGGTTGCTTCCTGTCCGTGCACGCCACCATTGGTGGTGCTGGATTGGGGTGCTTGCTTCTGGGGACAGTATTTTATTTTTTTGTTTGTTGTGGCCTTGCTGAGATACTAATTCACACAGCGTAGACTCCGCCCACTGAAAGGGTGCATGGTGGTGATTCTTGTGCGTATACTCGCGGAGTCGTGCGGCCATCACCAGCAGCAACCTGAGAACTAGCCCTGGGCGGCCACTGATGGGCTGCTTGTCCCCATCAGACACCTCTGGATGTCTGATGCAAATGGCGTGGTAATACACGGTCCTGTGTCTGCTTCCAGGGCTGGCCCCTGCCAGAGCTGTGCCCCTGCCCTCGCCTGTCCCCCTGCCAGAGCTGTGCCCCTGCCGTCGCCTGTGCCCCGGCTGTAGCTGTGCCCCTGCCAGAGCTGTGCCCCGGCTGTTGCCTGTCCCCCTGCCATCACCCGTGCCCCTGCCATCACTCGTGCCCCTGCCGTCGCCCATGCCCCTGCCCTCGCCGGTCCCCCTGCCAGAGCTGTGCCCCGGCCATCACCGGTGCTCCTGCCGCCTTCCTCTTCCTGCTGAGTCATCGCTCCTTGTGCACAAGCCCCCGTGGGATGTGTCCATCCATCAGTCGGACGTGTGGCTGGTTTTCTGCGTTTTTGGCTGTCCTCAGTGTTCGGGTGTGCTTCCGTTTCTCCGGGGCAGTGCCAGGAGTGGACTTGCTGAGTCATGTGGTCCTGCGGTCTAACCTTTCCAGGAATTCCCGCCAGCAGCGTGAGAAGGTTTCCGTGTCCCCACGCCCTCACCCGCGCTCACTGTCGTGGGGAAAGGGGCCTCTCACTGTGGCTTGGACGGGTACTGCCCTGACAGTGAAATTGGACGTCTTTTCCCACCTGGGCTCGTACCTGTGGAGAAAGGTCCTCCCCGGGGGCAGCCTGCCCTTTCTGCCCGGGCATCCGGGGGTCGGCAGGGGGGTCCTGGTCCACGTTCGCCGCCGTGTCCTCCGGAGCGCGGTTTCTACGTGTCCATTGTGTCGGGTTTCCTTTCCTGGGTCTTTGATGTCCGTCTGAGGAACCACTGCCAGACTCGAGGTCACGTTAGAACTTGAGTCCGTGGGTCAGAGAGTTTTTGGGTGTGGTGTGGGGTAGCAGTCCAGAAACAGAGCCCGAGGTTGGTTTCCATCAGTTATTCTTACCACGTTTTATTTTTCAGATTTAGACTGCTGGGAGGGCCGTAGCTGCTCAGGGAGCTGCCTCGGTGGGTCTTCAGACGCTTGCTGTGTATCCCGAGCAGCCCTGGCAGAAGTCAGGACTTGGGGAGGGCTGGGGAGAGAGGAGGGGCAAACCGCTGGGCCGGGAGCCCCTGCGCGCCAGCCCCGTCCCCGGCGGGGGTGCCAGCGGCCCTGCCGGTGCCGGGCTTGCTCCCAGCGCACGGGGCCTCTTCAGCTTGCACGTGGCGTTCAGCAGTGCGCGCCCGGGGAGGCGGCTGTGGGCTTGAAGCAGAGGTGGTGGTGGCTGGGCCGCCGTCTGGGCCGTGAGCCTTGTTCCCAGAACGGGCGCCCACGTGTGTGTGCTCGGTCTAGGGCGCTCCGTGTCCCGGGAGACTCCCGTTCCGCTGCCTTTTCTCCCAGCCACGTCGTGATCCCTTCAAGGGGTGTTTTCCTTACGTATTTAAAAAAGTGGCCCAGTGGGAGAATTTTGTTTTTAGCAGCGTCATAAAATCAGTGAACAGAAGAAGCAGAGAAGCCCGCCGAGGTTCCGAGGGGCGGTGGCGAGGCCGGAGTCGGCGTGCGGAAGGAGCGGGCATGGCCACACTCCTGGCGGCGCTGGTGACGGCGCTGCGCGGCTCGCCGTCCTGCTTCCGCTGCCCCACGCGGCCGCGTTAGGCCTGGGCGGCTCCCGGAGACCTGGCCGAGAGCTCTGGGAGTCCTGCCCCCTGCAGCCGGGATCGCGCCCGGATGCCGGCCCCTCCTCTGCACGGCTGTGCGCAGGCAGCGTTTTCTGGGCAGCCAGGAAGGAGGGTTCGCGTGTTGTGAGCCGTCTCCTGCTCTTTCTCCTTGGGTGGGAGGCAGAGCCCCTCTGACGGGGCAGGGCCTGTGCTGTCCCACAAGGAAGTCCAGGGTCGGCGCCTGTGACAGGCCGAGGAGGGAGGCAGAGTTCTGGCGTGGAGGGGCAGGCGCTCCCCTCCCTGCTCCCCGGCGGGCAGTGCAGCCTCTGCAGGTTCTGCTGAAAGTGGGCGGAGCCGCCAGCCCAGGGTGTGCGGTGGGAGACGTGCCCACCTGCCCGGTGCCGGAGCAGCTTCCGGAAGGGTCAGGGCGGATGGCGCCCTACCAGTCTCCGACGAGTGAGAGAGTAACTGGCGAGGACAGCCGCCTCCATCCTGGGCTGGGGGGAAGTCAGCCCCTCGCAGGCGTGTGCAGAGACCCTTCCCCGGTGGTCGGGACCGTGGGCGGCTGAGGTCTGTAGACAGGGGGTCCCGGGTGGGACGTCAGGTGCTGTGGGACAGGAGGCTGTGGACTGGCCCCCCCAGTTCCTGCAGCTGTCTCCCTTCCGCTGGGAGCGCACTGGGGCTGGCCGTAAGGGGCGCCTTTCCATGCTAAGATCTAGTTCCTCTCTTCTCCTCCGGGCCTGTCTGGGACACCTGGACAGTGGAACGAGGTTTGGCCAGGGGTGTTGTAGCTGCGGCCCCGCCCTGTGCCAGGTTCCCTGTCCAGGTGACGAGGCAGGAGTTGGGTCTGGAAGCGTGAGCGCCCCAGGCCTTGACTGCACCGCCCACCCCGTGTCGGACTTGGGCTTGAGCCTGGGAGATGTGGAGGGCGGGCCCCGGGGCAGGGCTCGGCTTCCGTCCCTGGTGCCCCAGAGGAGCTGGGTGTCCTGGTGCTCTTCTGCTTCCGGGGTCTCGGTCCAGGCGCTTGGTCAGTCTTCTCGTGGGCTGTGTGTGGTTTTGTTAGCATTTCCTTGGCGACCGAGCGAGCTTTTTTCATTCGTGGTTTTTCCTCAAAATCCCCAGAGGTTAGATTTTACCTTTGCAGGTCGGAAGCTCGCTCTTTGCCTGCTGGTTAAGTTGTCGGGCTGGACCGGAAATCAGAACGGCTGCTCCTGTCTTTAAACTCTGATGAAACACGCGCCATGGACGGCCCCCATGACCCTCGTGCGCCCGCAGCGGCCAGAGCGCTGTTGTCATGGCCTCTGCGAGCGGGACCTCCTCGCAGCGAGGCCGCGAGCTCCCGGACCCGAGCGGAAGCCGCGGGCGCGGTGCTGCCGGGCCCTGACTGCTGCCTGTCGGCCGGGTCTCCCTGGCTCCCCCGCGCCCGGCCCGGCGAGTGTCGCAGGTGAGCGTAACCCTGGTGTCGCTCTTTCAGATGTGGAAGGCGTCGGCAGGCCACACGGTGCCCATTTCCCAGGACGACGGGGGCGCCGACGACTGGGAGACCGACCCCGACTTCGTGGTAGGACTCAGCAGCCTGCCGGGCGACTTTCCGGGTGATGGGCGGGTTGGTTTCCCAGCCAGGGGTGCAGGCGTCCCGAGTTCCTTCTCTTTTCAGAATGACGTCAGTGAGAAAGAGCAGCGATGGGGCGCCAAGACCGTGCAGGGCTCCGGGCACCAGGAGCACATCAAGTAAGAGGCCGCTGGGGCGGCGCGGGCGCGGGTCCCCTCGTGGCTCTCCGGGAGCGAGCCCCGTGCAGGCCGCTGGGGCGGAAGGGGCGGCGTGGGTCCCCCTTGTGGCTCTCCGGGAACGACCCCCGTGCAGGCCGCTGGAGCGGAGGGGGCAGTGCAGGCGCGGGGTCCCCCTCGTGGCTCTCCGGGAGCGAGCCCCGTGCAGGCCGCTGGGGCGGAAGGGGCGGCGCGGGTCCCCCTCGTGGCTCTCCGGGAGCGAGCCCCGTGCAGGCCGCTGGGGCGGAAGGGGCGGCGCGGGTCCCCCTCGTGGCTCTCCGGGAGCGAGCCCCGTGCAGGCCGCTGGAGCGGAGGGGGCGGCGCGGGCGCGGGGTCCCCCTCGTGGCTCTCCGGGAGCGAGCCCCGTGCAGGCCGCTGGGGCGGAAGGGGCGGCGCGGGTCCCCCTCGTGGCTCTCCGGGAGCGAGCCCCGTGCAGGCCGCTGGAGCGGAGGGGGCGGCGCGGGCGCGGGGTCCCCCTCGTGGCTCTCCGGGAACGACCCCCGTGCAGGCCGCTCGCGGAAGGGGCGGCGCGGGGTCCCCCTCGTGGCTCTCCGGGAGCGAGCCCCGTGCAGGCCGCTGGAGCGGAGGGGGCAGTGCAGGCGCGGGGTGCCCCCTCGTGGCTCTCCGGGAGCGAGCCCCGTGCAGGCCGCTGGAGCGGAGGGGGCGGCGCGGGTCCCCCTCGTGGCTCTCCGGGAGCGAGCCCCGTGCAGGCCGCTGGAGCGGAGGGGGCAGTGCAGGCGCGGGTCCCCCTCGTGGCTCTCCGGGAGCGAGCCCCGCGCAGGCCGCTGGAGCGGAGGGGGCAGTGCAGGCGCGGGGTCCCCCTCGTGGCTCTCCGGGAGCGAGCCCCGTGCAGGCCGCTGGAGCGGAGGGGGCGGCGCGGGTCCCCCTCGTGGCTCTCCGGGAGCGAGCCCCGTGCAGGCCGCTGGAGCGGAGGGGGCAGTGCAGGCGCGGGTCCCCCTCGTGGCTCTCCGGGAGCGAGCCCCGCGCAGGCCGCTGGAGCGGAGGGGGCAGTGCAGGCGCGGGGTGCCCCCTCGTGGCTCTCTGGGAATGACCCCCGCGCAGGCCGCTGGAGCGGAGGGGGCAGTGCAGGCGCGGGTCCCCCTCGTGGCTCTCCGGGAGCGAGCCCCGTGCAGGCCGCTCGAGCGGAAGGGGCGGCGCGGGCGCGGGGTCCCCCTCGTGGCTCTCCGGGAGCGAGCCCCGCGCAGGCCGCTGGAGCGGAGGGGGCAGTGCAGGCGCGGGGTCCCCCTCGTGGCTCTCCGGGAACGACCCCCGTGCAGGCCGCTGGAGCGGAGGGGGCGGCGCGGGGTCCCCCTCGTGGCTCTCCGGGAGCGAGCCCCGCGCAGGCCGCTGGAGCGGAGGGGGCGGCGCGGGCGCGGGGTCGCTGCCCTGACAGGTGCTGGAGACGCACGCACACCCAGGTCTCGGGTCAAACACTCCTGTTGAATTTCTGTACACGAGATACTTCAAAAAGGTGGTTGAAAATGGAATTGACAGATAAATTTATTTTTTATTTTTTAAAGATTTATTTATGTATTTGGAAGGCAGAGTTACAGAGAAGCAGAGAGAGAGAGGTCTCCCATCTGCTTGTTCACTCGCTGAATGGCCACAGTGGCTGGGCCTGGGCCAATCTGGAGCCAGGAGCTGCATCAGAGTTTCCCATGTGGATGGCAGGGTCCCAGGCACTGGGGCCATCTTTCCCAGACCATTAGCAGAGAGCTGGATTGGAAGTAGAGCAGCCAGGACTCAAACTGGTGCCCATGTGGGATCCCAGCACAGCAGGCGGCGGCTTTACCCACTGCACCTCAGTTCCAGCCCCTATTTTGTTTTTTTAAGGGCTTACTTTTAGTTACTTGAAAGGCAGAATGATAGGTGGGGGTGCAGAGAGAGCTCCCACCGGCTGGTTTGCTCCCCAGGTGGCTGTGATGGCTGGGCTGGGCCAGGCCGAAGCCAGGAACTCCAGCCGGGTCTCCCACGTGGACGGCGGGGACCCAAGTCCTTGGGCCCTTTGCTGCTTTCCCAGGCGGGGAGCTGGATCAGGAGCGGAGCAGCCAGGACTTGATTCGGCCTTCCGATGCAGGAAGTTAGTATTGCAAGTGATAGCTTAGTCCGCCCTGCCACGACGCCGGCCCCAGGCAGATTGCTCTTGAAGCCTGTGTGGGGTTTTTACGTAGTGTGCGTTTCCACGAACTTCGTGTGGGGTGTGCTCCTGTGAGCTGCTGGCAGCCTGTGTGCAAACCTGGAGACGTCTCCTCAGCCTCCAGGTTTTCATGGAGGAACCCAGTTACCGCGGTGGGAGGTTTCTTGGAATAACCTCAGCCTCGCCTCTTAGTCTGACTCCGGTGGGGAATCACGCGCGTTGCAGAGTGCGGTGGCCGGCTGTGACCTAATTCTGAGCTGTGATAAATAACGCGGCAGCCGGGGAGCTGAGTGAACCGTGCCATTGTCCCCAGCGCGGCAGCCGAACACACCGCTCTCAGGGCTCGCTTTCCGTCAGGAAGCGCAGATAAGGGACTGGGGTTGGAGTTTCTCCTCCCACTCCCCGGTGGTGCGGGCAGCACTGCCGACCGGGTGGCCGCAGAGCTGCTGTGGGAAGCCCTGGCTTTAGTAGCTCTGGTGGGAAGGACCCAGGCGTCATGCGGGAGGAAGGCGGCGTCTGCACCGTGGCTTCTCGGGTCCCTCCCATGCAAGCAGCTGGGCCGGCAAAGGGCTGGGCTGGTTGGCACAGCACCTGGGTTGCTTGCCGTGCGTGCCACAGGCTGCCCCGCGGAGGCGCTCAGCCCTTCTCTGCCCTGTGGCTGCCGTACACTGGGGGCGGCCGTTGGGCCTGGCAGTTCACCCCGGGCAGGAAGCCTGTATCCGTCATTGAAGTGCTTGGGGCCAGCTCCCGTTCTGACCCAGCTTCCTGCTAACACAGACTGGCTCAGGTGGTTGGGCTTTGGCCGCTCGCCTGGGAAACCTGGTCGGAGTTCCTGGCTCCTGTCGTCATCCTGGCCCAGTGCCGGCTGTCGTGAGCACTTGACGAGTGGACCAGCAGACGGGGTCTGTCTGTCTGTCTCTCTCTTCCTCAAATAAGTAGATAATACAAAAGAGGCAGGGGGGAGGGGGGGAGAATTCGGGGAACTCTGGCACGGGCCTCGGGTGGGTCTGGATTCAGAGAGGGAGCCCGTGGAGCACGCGGGTTTGGTGTCCCGGTTCTTGCCGGGATCTGGCAGTGGTGCCCTCCCCTCCCTGCTCTGAGGAGCTGGGTGGCTCCCAGGCCGGCTTGTGTTTCATCCGTGTGTGTGTGCTTGTCTTCGGACGGAACGCCCCGTGCCAGGGTGGCCTCGCGCCACTCCGAGGTGGCCTGGTGAAAGCCGCCTCCTGGCCTGACCTGTTTGGGCCACATTTTGTGATCTGTTTCACTGTCCCCTGTATTTAAAATAAGAGTTTTTAGATGGTTAATTCTGAGCATAAATTTCAGCTCATCTCTGAGTGTTTAAAAAGCTGGGCCCTTGGGGCTGGCGCTGTGGTGCAGCGGGTTAAACCACCGCCTGCAGTGCTGGCATCCCATGTGGGGGCTGGTTCAAGTCCCGGCTGCTCCATTTCCGATCCAGCTCCCTGCTAATGCACCTGGGAAAGCAGTGGAAGATGGCCCAAGTGCTTGGGCCCCTGCACCCGCGTGGGAGACCTGGAGGAAGCTCCTGGCTCCTGGCTTCAGATCAGCACAACAGTGGTCATTGCGGCCACCGGCCACTTGGGGAGTGAACCAGTGATGAAAGATCTCTCCCTGACTCTCCTTCTCTCCCTCCCTCTCTCGCTCTCTTGCTCACTCGCTCTCTCTGCCTTTCAAATAAGTAAGTAAATATTGAGAAAAAAAAAAAAAGCTGGGCCCTTGCGGTTCAGCATCACCGGGCTTCTCCCCGCATCCTCGGGTTCCCGGGGGAGGGGCCGTGGCAGTCCCAGCACCAGCTTTCCTAGGCCGTTTCTGCAGTGGGACAGAAACTCTGAAATCAAGTTTGAGTCCAGTGAAGCGGCCCTCACTGGAGGTTGGGTGACCCAGGGTACAGATTCAGATTAGCGTCCTTCTTTTAGACGTTTCATTATTAATTCCACTTGTTTGAAAGGGAGAGACACAGGCAGAAGGAGGTCTGCCGTGCTCCGCTTCACTCTCCATGTGCCTACAGTAGTCAGGGCTGGGCCAGGGTCCCCGGTGGGTGGCAGGGACCCAAGGACTTGAACCGTCCCTGCTCCTTTCGACGAGAGTGAGGCCAGAACTCAAACCCAGGCGCTTCCGAATGGGATGCTCCAAACGCCCGCCTCTCCCGTGCCTCCTTGTGCTGAACTCGCTGGGGCGGGGGGGGAGGAGCCGCTGAGGGGGTGTGCAGCTGGCAGAGCAGTGAGGAAGAGCTGAGGCAAGCGGTTTGCCGAGCACCGAGTGGCGAGAGCCTGCGGATGGGCGCAGATGGCTCCCTCCCCGGAGGCCAGGGCGCGGTGACCTGTGACTGCGTCCGCCTGCCTCTGTTGCAGCATACACAAGCTGAGGGAGAATGTCTTCCAAGAGCACCAGACCCTCAAGGAGAAGGAACTTGAAACGGGACCAAGAGCCTCCCACGGCTATGGAGGGAAGTTTGGCGTGGAACAAGACCGGATGGATAAGGTGGGTGACGGCGATGACGTGGGCCCCACGCACGTTGGCAGAGTGTCCCGTTGATGCCTCGGCTGAGAAGGTTGGAGTCTGTGTGGAAGGTTTCCCTAGGCAGAGGCGCTGGCGAGGGAGGTGAGGGAGACACAGCGGGGGTGTGGAAGCGTCTTGACCGCTGCTGCCCTCGGGCAGTGCCAAACCGTGGGCCGAGACCATATCTGTGTGCCCCTTGTCCGGGCCTTGTCTCGCTGACACCTTCACGTGGTCGTGCGTTAGTGACTCACGGAGCCGACTGGCCCTGTGTGAAGTTGGTGCTGAGGCTGCGGGGAGAGCACTTCCTGCGTCGAAGGTTTGTGGCGAGCTCTCGGGACAGGCCCCGGTGGAACTCAGACTCCCAGGCAGACGACGGCTGGACGCACCCACTTTGCTGGCCCCCTGGCCCTCTAGTTCCTGCTGTGGGCGAGCAGGGGCCCGAGGCCGGGGGCTGGGTTTTCGCCAGCGCAGCCGCTTCCTCCGGTCAGGCAGGCCTTGGCAGTCGCACGCCTTCGCTAGAGCTGAGTCTGAGCAGTGCGAGGTGCTTCTGGCCTGACCGACGTTTGCTTTCTCCGGGTGGAAGGGCGAGGGCCCGCGGTGTCGGATTCCCGTCAGTAATCTCAAACCTCTGCCCTTGGGCACGGGTCGGATGAAATGTCTGAGCCGACCTGCAGGGATGTGGGCAGTCACAGCCGTGCCTCGCTGTGCCCCCCACGGTGTAGGCGGGGTGCGGTGGGCTCTGACGGAGCACCCCGTGAGAAGTAGGTGTCACGCGTCACCTGTGCCTTCAGCAGAGGTCCTGACATTGAGAGGGGCGTCGTGGGGCCCGGGTCAGCCGTGCCTCGCTGTGCCCCCCACTGTGCAGGCGGGGTGCGGTGGGCTCTGACGGAGCACCCCGTGAGAAGCAGGCGTCACACGTCACCTGTGCCTTCAGCAGAGGTCCTGACATTGAGAGGGGCGTCGTGGGGCCCAGGTCAGCCATACCTCGCTGTGCCCCCTACCACGGTGTAGACTGGGGTGTGGTGGGCTCTGACGGAGCACCCCGTGAGAGGCAGGCGTCACGTGTCACCTGTGCCTTCAGCAGAGGTCCTGACGCTGAGAGGGGCGTCGTGGGCCCGGGTCAGCCGTGGGCTCTCGAGTCAGGTGGGCAGAGCCCTGTGTGTTCAGGGCAGTGAACGAACCGGGGAGGTCGGCATCTCTGCCACCCCAGGCCTGGTCCTGAGCTCGCCAGGACCACGGGGAGTTGGAGCAGAGGTGTTTGTCACACAGAGGGGCCTCCCACACCTTGGAGAAAATCCAGGTGCTGTGTTAAAGGAACGCTTCTGCGAGAGTCTGGTGCGCTCTGGGTTCTGTGCGGCTGCCGGGGCCTCTCTCCGTCCTCTGAGCACTGAGCGCCCGTGTCCTTTCTCTCCACTGCACCCTCAGCCCCAGACGGCCACGTTCGGTTTCAGAACGGGGCGCTCCCTGCGCTGGCTGTCCAGAAATCAAAGTAGCTCTGGCAGCGTAAGGTCAGGGGCGGTTTGGGGGATGACTCCGTGTCCGTTTAAAGGCTGCAGACCTCGCCCCGTGTCGCCCTGGCCGTATTCTAGGACAGTTTCTCACAGCACCTTTGCAGTGGGAACTCGGGCAGGGCACGCGCTTGTCGGCCGCCTTTGCTGCCCCTTCGCCGTGTGGCTTGAGTGGGGTGCTGGTGGCCGTGACTGGGCAGGGCGCCCTGCAGCGCTTCCGGGCTGTGTGGGAGACAGGGCAGGGAAGTGCCCCTGCTCCACAGCTGGACGCCTGCTGCCTCGGCGGGAGAGCATGGCCGCTGCGGCCTGCAGGTGCGGGGCGGACTCGAGCTGGAGGAGACGCCAGCCCCGCGGTCTGGGGGTCGTGGAGAAAGCAGCCAAGAGCAGGGCCGGCACGCTGCGTCTCTTCCTCGTCTGCAGGAGACCCCTGACCACTCTGCGCCGTGAGGAGGGGGCCTCAGCTCGAGGGCAGGCCGCGGCTCTGGGGGTGATCCCTGGGCGCCGCTGAGCGGGACGACCGAGGACGGGCAGGGACGTGGCCGTGGCCGTGTCCGGTGGTCTCACAGAGAGCTGTGCTCCGGCCAGTGGCTGTGCCCTGTGGGCCTCGTGACGGAGAGCATGGTGGGACCCCCGGATGCACGTCCTCACTCTGCCTTGAGCAGGAGGTCCCTGAGCCTGCGGCCTTCTCTCTCGGTGGCTGGGCTGTTGCTGACCCCGAGCGAGCAGATGCAGGTGGCGGCCCCGGCTCCCTGCCTGCAGGGTGTGTGCTCAGTAGATGCGGAATCTGGCTGGCTAGAGTAGAACACGCGTGTCCGTGTTTCAGTTTCGGTATTTCTGATTGTTGCGTCAGTGTGAAAACGTCTCACTTAGTAGAGTGCCGTGTTGCCACCCGTGTCCCCGTCTGCAGGTCTCAGCCTTGTTGGGGCTGCCAGCTCATTGAGAAGCCCAGCTGTGCCGGGGCTGCCTCAGAGACGTGTGTGCGGTCGCTGTGCACACTCGGGTCGGTTGTGTTTAAATACGGCCGCCCGTGCCGACCAGAGGGGCGCTTCCCCTCAGCCGCGCGCTGGGGAGGGGTGCCTAACGCCTTGTGATTGGGCCTTGTTTCAGTCAGCCGTTGGCCACGAGTATCAGTCGAAACTTTCCAAGCACTGCTCGCAAGTCGACTCGGTCCGGGGCTTCGGAGGCAAGTTTGGCGTCCAGATGGACAGGGTAGATCAGGTGAGTGGACGGGGAGGGGCTGATCTCCGTGGCGCGTCTGCCCCTCGGGCCCTCCCAGTAGCTTGCAGGTGCAGCCTGGCTGCCCAGGACTGCGGAGAGAGCCAGAGTGCTGCTGTGTGCTGCTCAGGTGCCCCGAGGGCGCCCCGCCGAGGCCCAGGACTGGGGAGCAGGGGAGAGCATTTGCACCCCTCTTCCCTGGGGAAGGTAGGGCGGCAGGCCATGGTCAGAGCCCATCCGCGTGGTCTGTTGCTGCCCCTTGGGCGCGCCCTGGCCCACCTGTCACTCGTGCGTGTGTGCAGCGTGGCTGTGAAGCCTGGAGCTGCAGCCCTGGGTCTGGGTTCCGGCCCTGCCACGCCTCTGGACTTGCCGGTGCCTCCGCGGGGGTAGCGGGGACGCCCTCCTGAGGCTGTGCGCCAGGCCGAGCAGACGGCCTGTGCTGCAGCGCCCCCCACGGCACCCAGCTTCCGGGAGCTGTGCCCGAGGCGGCGGCTGCTGCTCCGATTAACGTTGGAGTGTGTAAGGTGGCGAGTCTGTGAGGCGTGGGGAACTGTTCCAGACCAGCGGTCTATGGCCGAAGGAAGTAGCTGAGCGTTCCCTGTGGCCATGAGCTGGGCGGGGCAGGTTGCCGTGGATACAGCTCAGCCCGCGTAGCCAGCCTTTGTGGACCGTTTTAAGGTGCGTAAATTTAAAGCACCTGTGTTTTAATTTGACCTACAGTTGGCTTGGGGAGCCAAAGGTCAAAGAGATAGCAATGGTCTGTTTCTACAGATTTCAGAGTGATAGCTCTGGAGGTATGCATTTCTGGGGCAGGGGTCTGCTGTCATAATGATTAAGCTGCTGCTTCGGGCCAGCGCCGCAGCTCACTAGGCTAATCCTCCGCCTGCGGCGCCGGCACCCCGGGTTCTAGTCCCAGTCGGGGCGCCGGATTCTGTCCCGGCTGCCCCTCTTCCAGGCCAGCTCTCTGCTGTGGCCCGGGAGTGCAGTGGAGGATGGCCCGGGTGCTTGGGCCCTGCACCCCATGGGAGACCAGGAGAAGCACCTGGCTCCTGCCATCGGATCAGCGCGGTGCACCGGCTGCGGCATCCATTGGAGGGTGAAGCAACGGCAAAGGAAGACCTTTCTCTCTGTCTCTCTCACTCACTGTCCACTCTGCCTGTCAAAAAAAACAAAAACAAAAAAGCTGCTGTTGGGATGCCTGGGTTGAAGTCTAACTCTGGTCCCGATCCCAGCTCCCCGTCAGGGGCGCCCTGGGAGGCACAGGTGCCCCGCCACCTGCGTGGGAGCCCCAGATTGGGTTCTTGGCTGCTGGCTTCAGCCAGGCCCAGCCCGGCTGTGGCAGGGATGAGGGAGTGGACCAGTGGATGAGAGGTCTTTGTCAGTTTGCTTGCCTCTTTCCATGTCTTTTTCCTTTGGAATGAATGAGTGAGTGAAAGAATAAAAACTAAACTGTGTCTCCCTCTTCCTGGGTTCATCAGTCTGCCG